TAAAAGTTGCTGATCACATTCTGGTCCATTGGCTGTATGATTGATGTAGTGTTGGGAGGTAAAAACAACACTTTGACAAAGTCAAATTGAGACTCCAAAGTGCTGGTAGGTTGAGGGTCATGACCAGGGGCATTATCCATAAGGAGAAGAGCCTTTAAAGGGAGTTTATTGGTGGTTAGGTAGCTCTTCACAGAAGGGCAAAACACCTCAACAGCCCATTCATTAAAGAGCTGTCTTGTTACCCATGCCTTACGGTTGGACTTCCAATAAACTCCAAACCGTCCTCTAACCACTTTTTGTTGCTTGAACACCCTGGGGTTCTCAGAGTGGTAGACAAGCATAGGCTTCAGTCGGAAATTCCCTGAAGCATTGGCACCAAGCAATAGAATGAGACGGTCTTTCATGGGTTTATGCCCAGGTAGAGGCTTCATCTCTGGTGATGAATGTCCTTTTGGGCATTTTTTTCCAGAACAGCCCAGTTTCGTCCACATTGAACATTTGCTGTGGAAGAGAATTTTTTTCATCCATCAGTTCTTTAAACTCCACTAAAAATTTTGCTGCTCCTTCCTTATCAGCACTAGCAGCCTCACCATGCCTAACTACACTAAAAATGTCACTTCTTTTCTTAAATTTTTCGAACCAGCCCTTGCTGGCCCTAGACTCTTCAAATTCTGTGCCTGAAGAACCAGGTTGATCTGTCTTTAAATGTTCGTAAATCTCCCTGGCTCTTTCACAAATATATTAGGTCGGAACTGAATCACCTTTCATTTGTTTTTCCCTAATCCAAATGAGAAGTTACCTCTCTGTTTCTGCTATTAGGGATCTACCTTTAAACACTCTGGTAGATTTGTCTCTCACTTTCACTTCCTTGAATTTGTCTTTCTGTGCAAGAATTGTCGACACAGTTGATGTCGACATGCCATATTCTTTGCTAAGCACATTTGTTCTAATGCCTTTTTCATGTTTCTTAATAATTTCCTGTTTCACGTGGATTGAAATCGCTTTTCTTGATTTCTTGGGACCCATGCTGGATTCAAAAACAATTTCAACACGTGATATTTTAAGTTTAATTGCTATAAATAAAGAATATTTTCTTTAAATCAACACTGCACTGCACTATATATCATCAATATGTAAAATAAATTTCAAAATGACCAATAATTTCACTGTAAAAAAGGAAAAAATCGTTTATGTTGAAGAGAGTCTGAAGCAAGATGTTACCTCCACTGAAAAGACACAGAGACTGATGCCTGCTTGGTGTGTTGACAGGTTGTTTGGCACGCTAAAAACTAGTTTCCCTGTATTCAATTATGTTAAATAATTGTTAAAATGACTAAAAATTTTAATATAAGACTTTTTAAATTATCGAATAGTACAAACTTCTTGATATTTACTAAAATAGTAAGGAATTTAAGCCCTAGAACCAATTACTGTATTGGCGGACTAATACGACAGCTAGTTTGCAAGCGAAAACATGTTGAGGGGTGCCCGTAAGAAATTCGTTAATCGAGGGATTGCTCGTCAACCGAAGTGAAGAAAGAATCTTATAGAAGGTAATTCGTTAACCGAGGGATTACTGTATGTAATAATATGTATGTATGTATATATATATATATATATATATATATATATATATATATATATATATATATATATATATATATATATATATATATATATATATATATATATATATATATATATATATATATATATATATGCCTTATTTTAGTCAATAAATAAATTTTTCTCACTGTTGCTTCTTAAGTCCTTCTGCCTGGTATGAACTCAAACTGCATTTTATAATATCCACTCTCTCCCTATCAACTTTTCGACCTGTTTCCAAAACTATCAGTAGCCTTTCCACTTCATTTTGTTAATAATTTTCTTCATTGTCTTACAATCCTTGGGCATGATCCCTTTGCTGGCTCTAATGCTTTTAGACTGCCCCTTTATCACTCTGTCCACTTCATTATTCCACCAATATCTTACTATCTTACTGCATGGTTGGCTGGGCCCTTCATCTAGCCACAGAGCTTGTTGGCCACACTTAAAAGAACATCTTTTAATGTGGCCCAGCAACTTACTATGCTGCCCCTCCATTGACTTTTTTCAATCTTCTGAACTCAGCATAAAACACTTCACCTCTAGCATTTTCTCAACCCTCTTTTCGGCACTCAAGATCCCTACACCACCAAACTGAGAATCACTCCCTTTCCATAACATTTGTGCCTGTCAATCCTACCAGTAATCAACCTTGCTGATCTTTCTTTCAATCTAGTTTGGTGTACACAATACGAATCCACCTTTTTACAGCCTCAACAAACTCAACTGATCTTCCCTGCCCAGTACCAGAATTCAGACTTCTAACTCTGAACTCCACTACGTCTCCACTTTGCAATGGTTGGCATTGAGACAGTGGTAGGGGAGTTATGTGTAACAGTTTTAATTAGGATCTTCAGTTGTATTGTCATATTTAGGTACTGTTTGCACATGGGTATCAACCTGTACCAGATATCCCTCTGCTGCTGACTAACACAAACCTAAAGACTGGCGCACTAGTGAACCTGATGTCATCTCAAAAGCAATTCAATGGCCTTAGGATAACCCATCACCAACTTTCCATGTGCAACATGGCACTAATGCTGATTGTAGTACTGTACAGTATCATACATTTGATGACACAGCAGCCTCTCGGGGTGCTACCCGAGTTTGGGTTCCTGTACTATCAAGAGTAACTACTGCCCTGTAGAACACACATTGTGTACAGGCAGTGCACTAACCCAGGAAATGCAACAGGACCTGGAGAAAGACAGCTCTGGTGTCCAAGCTGTCATTAGGCATAATTGAGCTAAGGTTTATGGCTGGATGCCCTTCCTATTGTCAACCCACTGTTACAGAATGAGAACTGGGCATTATACTCATGTGTACGACTTCCAAGTTGCCTCTTAGCTGGTGAAACAGGGTTTTAACTCCGAGGTAAAAAAAAACAAATTATGAGACATACAGAGTTATGTCCTGCCGTACTGCCAACACTGTCAACGTTTGCGGTCAAGCACCGGCTCATTCACCGTGGAGGTTAATAATAGAACTGGTCAGAAGTGAAGCAGGAGATAATTACAGTGATTTGAGGGTTGAAGATAAGGGCCACCAACTTTAAAATCTTCACTGAGTAACCCACCATCATCCCCTCCAGCCAAATGTCACGACTATAATGAAGCGAAACAATTTTTTTTTATCTCGCTTCCTTTTTCTCAATATATATTGTATGAAATTTTATTATTCTACGAGGAAATTATTTGTTTTTCTTTTACACTGTGGTGTGCACAGACATTATTTGTGAATTCACTCCTGAAAGGGTTAATGGCTCAACCAAGCCAGAGAAAGTTGATCTGATCAGTCCAATGCTGTGGTGGGTTTGCTTGTTGTCTTAATAGGCCAAATACTTTACTGCAGTAAGTGCCATTTTGAGTCAAAGGGAGCTCTGGGTACCAACAATGTCTTCTCAAGTCTACAAAGCCAGTAATATATTCAGTTCAATAGCTCTCAGGTCTTACTGGATATAATCAAAACTTAATGAGCTAAAAACAGAAAAAGTCCTATCCAAAGCCATAATCAAATAATTCTGAAGTCTGTAAAATATTTACCAGTTTGGGCTCAAGAGATATCAGGAAATCAGTTAGAAATACTGTGCAACTGGCCTCTGTGTAGAGAGGTGCATATTATGTATGGCAGTGTCAGACTAACCTCTTGGCTCTGGGTGGTGGTCACACTCATAACTAACAATGATAGTAACAATTAAAAGTGAGCCAATGGCATGACAATTCATCATTTTTCTACAAATAATTAACATTGCTTCACACCTTAAAGTACAGTATATCAATGCCACAGTGAGAACCACTAAGACAATAAGCATTAAATATTAACTAGGTAAATGACACAGTGAAAGACACAAGTGGGTACCATTTACAGAGAAGGGCATCTAAAAGAGCCAGTCATAGGTAGTACAGCAAGGAAAGAGAAGGTCAGATGGAAGATAAAGAAACAGAGACAAGATTGAAATGGAAAGCTGCAGTGATTAGTAGAGGCCAGATACTGTTGCCACACTCCATAATAGTAGTAAAACATTCAAGCTGCTTTAATGAGCAGTACACTTGGAAAATAAAAAAAGAGTGAAAACAGTGCCTGAACCAAGTGAGGCCTCATGCTACCCATGCTGTAACAACTTGTATCAGACATCAATGACTAACACTAAATAAGCAGCTGGACTTGTACTTCTCAATAATTTACCACAAACTAATCACCTCTGTATGACTATTTAGTGAGCCTCAAAGATAAACTATTGGTACAAGAGCTTTTAAAAAATTATTCAAAGTTGTTTAGCACTGAAGTATTATAGTAAAAATAGCAGGTACTTTTTTATTATAATTACAAGTGTTTGATGCACACACACATACATAAAGAGGGATTTGATGTAGAAGCACGGACTGAAGAACTAGTAAGGAGTGGCCAATATTTAATGATGTGGTGATGTTCACCATATTACTTCAAAAAGATAACATTTTGGGAAAGATTTAAGAGCCCAAAATATTAATTTTAGCATTTCCATTATGAATTTTCCCCAGCTGGAATATTATAACTATCATATTGTTAAGTACACAAGATTGTTTAAGACCTATACCTGTATAAAACTTTAGCAATATATTTTATATTTTTATTTCCCTTAATAGGCCTTTACAAATGATAACTTGGAGAAAAGAGATTGGACAGGTGAAAAAAGGATAAAAGTGTGTCAGGTACACAAAAGCAGGATGCTGTGCTGCACGTCACATATTTATGAAGTTACCTTATCACCATTAAAGAGACTGCAGCACAGTGCTGGGAAAACTAGTGACGTAGCACAAAAAATTTTTCAGCATATGAAAAAAAAAGAACATCAAAACCATACACCCATGACCAACACCAAGAGAATGAGCTTGAACCCAATAATGTTGGCTCACCCAAGGCAGTTGGCACCATTCCATTTCTAGCGACTATAACTAAATGGTATAAAAGAAAAAAGAAAAACTAAATAAATACGAAATCACAAATCTCAATCACAGAAATTAAATTATAGTACAGTATGGTCAATGGACTATTATTTATGCATACTGTCCAATGCTATAGTGTCTAGGAGCACTACAATGGTATTTTATGTAGGGACAATGTACAACAGCATACAGTATTTCCTATGTACATTGTACAATAGTATAAAGATTAAGAACACTGTACAATGGTATAATGTCAAGGAACACTGTACAATGGTAGTTTCTAGGAATATTATACATTAGAGTATTATCTAGGAACATTATACAAAAGTATACTATGAAGGAACACTGAACAATACTATGTAAAAAAAAAAAAAAAAAACTAAATAAATACTACTAACTCACAAATCTCAATCATAGAAATCAAAACATGGTACAGTATGTACAGTTGACCACAGGTGTAGCATTCCACCCCTCGGTGACCTTTCCGAACTGGTGGCATTGTTGGATTCATAGTCGAATCTTCTTTACAGATATTACGTCTATCATATCACTTAGCACAAATCTCAAGTACAAATATTACCCCAAAAATATATTACTGTAATGGCTACATGTTTGGAAAGGCCACCGAGGGGTGAAACACCATACCTGTGGTCAACTGTATAATGGAGTATTATCTATGCATACTGTCCAATACTATTGTGTCTAGGAGCACTGTACAATGGTATAGTGTCAAGGAACACTATACAATAGTATAGTGTCAAGGAACACTGTACAGTACAACGGTAATGTCTAGGAATACCATACTATAAAACAATGTATTATCTAGGAACATTTTACAATAGTACAGCATCTAGGAACACCATACTGTACAGGTTTATGATCAGTATTTGATTACCAAAACTTCAGTGACATTTTGAGATTACTCTATTTAAAATAAGTTAAAATTATTGTAATGAGAACTTCACTCTCTCTCTTTTACAGGTACTTTAGCGGGCAATGTTCGGTGGATTTGGCATCCTGTGTACCACCAGCAAGGCCGTGGGCTCGTAACACACGTCTTGCCCGTGGTGTCCACTGTTTCTCCGTGGATGTCGGTCACACGAGAATAACTCGTTATAGTACCTCCTTCTTTCCTCACACAGCCAAACTGTGGAATGCTCTGCCTTCTTCTTTGTTTCCATACTTATACAATCTGTCTCACTTTAAAAAGCTGGTTTTCCGGCATCATCGTGGTGTAGATTAACACAATACTGTATAACCTTTTTGTTCTCTATTTTCAATTTTCAATTTCTTTCTGTTCTTTTTTTTTCACCACCCAGGCCCCGTTGTAGGTCGTTTGACCTGTGCCCGGGTGGGCTAATTCCCGTAAAAAAAAAAAAATTGTACAAACCCCAGACTTTCCTGCTGTACCTGAGTACAGGGATCCTTCGCTATACGAATGTTTGAGATAAAAAAATTTGCCTACTTGTATATAAATTTCCTAAATTCACACTTAATTTTCATGTTATACGAATTTGGGTTTAAGCAAAAACTCAAATCGAATGCCCCGAGAGTCAGTTGGGGTGGCCATTTTGGCAGAGAGGCACAGAGACATATTCTCACTCACTGATCATAACAACCCCACCCCTTCCCTCCCACATGTTCCACAAGCCTGCATCTTTCCATCAGTTGTGTGTGAAGTGATCTCTCTTTATCCGTGTGTATTTATGCCATCCTTTTAATGGCATCCAAGCATTCTGCTAAATCTTCAGCTACCCATACTACACCGAAGAAAATACGACTCTTGAGACAGCAGTGATGAGGTAGACAGCCCTCCTCATCTCGCTGAGTAAGGCCCTTACTCAATCCACCCCTCCTCACCCCTTGTGAAGAACCCTGACTGCCTTTCCATAAGGTAATGTACCAAAGTTATACAGTATTTTATTGTCTTGAATGTGTTAGGTAGCAAATTACAATAGTTGTGTACTATTCATCATTATTTAGGTAGATTTTTTTTTCATGGGGTTTTCATATCACTGGGGGAACTGAACCCTATTTTTCCCATCTGACAGCTAGCCGTCAACTGCCACGAACCATCAGCTAGCAGCCGCTTTTACCACTCTTATGGTAATAAAGCATTAAGCATGTAACAACTGTAAGAATACATGGAGGAAGTGAGTAAGCCGTCGTAATGACTGATGTATGGAGAGGCACGCCAAGTTCTCACTGCCACGCCCTAACTTTGCCACAGACACATTATTAAATAATGTCTAATTTCACCGCTAGATAAATCTTTTTTTGTTTCTTGATACAAGGTGTACTTGGCAGCTGTTTTTGGACACGTTATGCGCAATTTTGGAGCCAATTTATGCGATAAATACAGCCATATATAAACAACTCTTGCTACAAGAATCTCTACACCCCTACAGTAGAAGGTTCTGATTGAATGTGAGATTTAACTTTTTTCCTACATACTATGCATTCTATGTGCAAAAACTGATATACAGTACAGTATTTAAGGGAACCTTCAATATTTAACTAAACATGGTACAGTACAGTATATAGACATTTTTAGATAGTGATAGTATGCATAGATTAAATTATCATAACTGATTCCTCTACTTCACCATGCATAATTGTAATTTTGGCTAAATTAATTGTATTTCATTATTATTATTTGCTTATTGATTCTTTTGTGTTGTCATGGTGATTATTATGCATTACATTGCTTATTTAGACATTTATTAAAGGTAAACCCCTCAAAGGATTGGATAATAGTGACCATAATTGATATACTGCAATCAAATTTTGCTATTCGAGAGGGTTACTGGAACCTAGAACTTGTGAGTAACAAGGGATAATTATACATTATCAGGAATTATTGTACAATGTTACAATATCTTGGAGCTCTGTAGAGGTACAATGGCATAATGACTAGGAACACTGTACAATGATATAGTAGCTAAGAACACTGTACAATGGTATAGTGGCTAGGAACACTGTACAATGGTAGTGGCTGGGAACACTGTACAATGGTATAGTGGCTAGGAATACTGTACAATGATACAGTTGCTAGGAACACTGTACAATTACATAGTGGCTAGGAACACTGTACAATGGCATAATATATAGGAACATTGTACACTAGCTATACTACCTAGTAACAGTGTACTGCACACCCACCAAAAAAGTTCTGTTAGTCGTCTCTCCCATCCATGAACCCGAGAATCCGAGACATCACACAGTGTGCCATCTATGGGCCCAACAATGTGTGATGCCTCAGATTCAAGGTTCATGGATGGGACGGAGGAATGACAGGACTTTTTTTGGTGGGGGTACATGTAAATCTTGTCTCTTAACAACCATCAGGTTTTACTGTTAAAGAAACATGACCTGTGAGCCCAACATTTTCACAGTTACCATGTCAGGTCAGTAGTGTTGCTGATAAATAACTTCTCTATACATACACACACAAAAGCTGGTTAAGTACACAGGAGGAGGCTCTTGTGAGCCATCAGTAGACACTGCAACACATTCCATGGTCTTTGAAGGTTAAAACAAAGAAACTATCTTAAAGGTCTTTCACATCATTCACAAGGCGGTAAAGCTCTCTTTTAAGTTGGGTGTCTTGTCTACCTGCTTTCAGCAATATTTTTTTTTTTACAGTGATACACCAAAATGAAGCAAATTACAACTAAATCTACATAGAGACAGTTAAAACATGTGAGTGTGTCTAAACCATGTTCTAGTTAAACAATAATATCAGTCCCATTATCAGACTGCAGTTACACCATGCTGGAATTAATAACTAATTAAGCAACATTACTGAACAAAGAGGTCCATACAATACTAAAGATATAAGGAACCAGAGAGAGGTACCAAGGAAACAACTGAAGACAAGAAAAATTATACACCATAGTTGGTTAGATTAATCATAATCTTTTAACATGATGGGAGGCGAAGCAGGGGTCAGACATCTGTAATATGCAAATCATAAATTGACTGTGTTTTATGAATGGTCATGCAGACACTACACTCATAAGTCCTCTGTGTGTGTGTGTACAATCTTTGTTATAAGTCCTGTGTATGTAGAACAGATAAATATCTTTGTTATAAGTCCTGTGTGTGTAGAACAGATAAATATCTTTGTTATAAGTCACAGTGGTGGGCACGGTTCCGCTAACCGCTAACTAGCAAAGCTAACTTTCTCGTTACAGATTAGTATTTTCACTAACTTTGGAAGCCATTAGTGGACCCGCTAACATTAAGTCCGCTAACAAAATTTATATATGTTTGTTCCTGTCTGTTGTAAGCGTGTGACGCAGCGACGCGTGTCTCCAACAGCCAGTCAGGCACGCTTGGCTGACTGCGTGTTAGTACGTGTAAACGTGAATGGAAATTTTTTATTATTAAAGTTTAATACTTTTTTTTACAGTAAATAAAGACTGTCAGTGTATGTTGAAAGAATCATAGAATGTAATTGTAAACTAATGTATAATTTAATTTCTCATTTATTTGTTAATTTAATTAGGATTTTTTTTGTCAATATATTTGGTTATGCTAAGTACTGCATAAGTTCATAACCAGGATGTCATCCAAGGTGTGCGCCAAACTAAATATTCTAAAAACTTACTTTTCATTAAAGTTTAGAGTTTTCTGTTTATTTACATGACTAAGACCAACAATAAGTTATATAAAAATGTACTGGTATAATGACTAAGACCAACAATAAGTTATATAAAAATGCACTGGTATAATGTGTATGTGGTTGGTATTGTATATTTACATGAATAATGAATAAGGCCGATAGGTTGTATGAGAATGCAAATTAATTATTTGTGAAATTGTGTACAGTGTACACCTTGAATAAGTTGATCATCATCTGATCTTGGCATGATGCTACTTGCTACCTATGCTATACAGTACTATAGTTTTTGGATTCGTTTAATACTTTCTGTCTTTTCGTACAGTAAATAAAGATTATCAAGTGTATGTTGAAACTTGAATGTAAACTAATGTTTAATTTCATTTGTTCATTTAATTATTTGTGTACACCTTGATCATTATCTGATCTTGGCGTGCTATACCTTTTTGGAAAGCTCTATGTCTAAGCTACAAGACAACATGTGAAAATTTCAGCTCTCTTGGGGCTAATTGTGACTTTTTGGCATGAAAGAGTCATGCTATCTGTTTTTCTTTGAATAAATTTTTTGGGCAATCTGTTTATTTTTTTGTTTGAAACCAACTACATTTTATGTAAAATTGGTCACTCATTGACATGAAGAAGTAAAAAAAAAATTAAAAATTAAAAAATATTTGATGATACAAAGTTAAGCATTATATTCTCATCACAAACAACTTGTACTTTACCCAACAAAAACCAAGTAAACACATTAAGTAAGTAATATACAACAAAAAAGAGGACATATCTATGTTTCAGCTTGGTGAAATCAGAAATTGGATATCGAGTAAGTAATAATAAGGCTGACACATTGAAAAAACTTGAATATTGAAATATTTTCCAAAATCTTTTATTGTACTTTGTTTTTAGTTTTAGCCATTGCTTTTATTTTTTCTCCATTCTTTGTTATTCCAATGGTTATTATAAGTGTCTACATAAGTTAATGTGGTTTTAGAATTTTGTTAGCATGTACGGTTAAGCTGTGAGCGATTTTGGAATAAAAAATCCATTCCCACCAGTTTACACTAATAAATATTTTACAAACAATTTTACAGGCAAATATTACTGTACAATGGTAGGCAGGAGTGTGTGAGAGGGACAATTGGGGAAAATTTCTGGTATGACTGCTGGGAGATTACTAGAAGGGGTTGCCATATATATAATTAGTGTTGGTTTACGACAAGAGAATAATTCAAGGGGTGACTCATCAAATTTTTACGCGTCAGTCATATTTACTTGATTCTTGGTGATTTTTTCTTTTCAGTGACATGAGAATGGCATCAGCGCCAATTGGACAAGATTAAAAATTGACAAAGATATCGAGTCATGGTGCACAAGTGTTAAACAAAAAGTACTGTATTTCACCAATTAAGCATTCAAGAAGGCCATTCATAGCTACTGAGCATAAATGTATAATGTTGTCTGGGATGTGAATACAGTTAAGTCTTACCTATTTCACAGTGATGTTAAATATGTCCAAAGTTATGATGTTGACCTGTTTATGTCAAATAAATACTGTTTGTCCAAAGTTAGGCCCAGTCATGATGGCTGTCAGCATGGTAAGAGTACACCTGTATATATGGATGAAATTTACTCCTGCAACAATACAAATTATACAATCAACTACCCATTAGTTCTAGGTCACTAAGCTATCAACAGCACTAGTATTGATTTTTCCCCCCAATTTACAAGATTTTGTGGTGACACTTAGGTACAGTCTCCTGTGTGTAAACAGGAGGATCTGGTGTTGAGTGGGATGGTCTCAGGTCAAAGGGCTCCCTCCTGCATTTCATAAAGACATGGATAAGGAAGAAACGAACAAAAGGTTGTTGAAGAAAAGCAGCTATGCAGTAAAAATGGGCTTAGAGCACATGAGCAGCAAGTACTTACCGTTAGGAACTGTTGCTGCTGGTTTTTTGGTCTGAACACGGGCAGTGGCATTGTTCACCTAGTCACGTACAGTGAACAACAATATTGTTTCAGTAAAAAGACCATTCAATATAATCAATTACATCAGTTCATTGTTTATGGGATATTGATGAATTATCATGTATTTTTCATATATAACTAATGACATGAAGTGAGTTATCATATATTGTCCAAGGCAACATAAAGGCAAATAATCTTAATCAATGGATGACATTAAGTGTCAGTGTGGTGGTAAGTTACCTCAATCTTGCGGCCTTCCATCACAGTACTGTTCAGAGATTCTCTGGCACGATCCGCATCAGCTGCTGAAGCAAAAGTCACAAAACCAAAGCCCTGCAAAACCACTTCATGTTAAAAATACCGCACAATATTGTCAACAAAACTTCATCAATTCATTGAAAATTTTCATTTTAAATTAGAAAGACTGTTGGACAGTACTTACTAATCTATTTCCCCATAAAAAAAAACTTTGATATTCAAATATAAATACTGTACACATTGATAAAAGGGTGCAAGTAAGAAATCACCTAACTCTGCTCACCATAAATATTAAGAACTATAAATTAAGAGCACCTTACTGGTGTATTCATTTAAACTCCCACAATGTTCAAATGTTTAAATAAAAATAATTAAAGGTAATCAGATGAAAAACAACAAAACATAGGCAATGATGAATGACGGACTGAGTAAAGGCTCGTCAGCTAACCGAGGCTCCAAAATTAGATTTTCAAGTCTTTCAGATTATCGAAGTTGGGATTATTGGGGTTTTATGGGAAGAAATTATGCTGTAATGTTGCCAACAAAACTCTAGTTAATGTTCAGTGACAGACAGTGAGGTTACTGGACAGCATCATGATGATGCACCCCTCAAACTACTTCCAGTAATGAAGAACATAAAACATACCCAAAGATTCAACTTACCTTTGATCCTCGTTCATTGAAGATTATTTCCACATCAAGGATTGTTCCAAATTTCTGAAGAAGTACCATTTTGTTAGTTTTTAAGAACTAGAGTATAGGAATAAATCTTTTGTCCATATAATCTTTAGTGTATTCTAATACAGTTCCTACATTTTATGGCCTAGGCCTTTAAGAGTGACCTGTGATATCCCACCACACTAAAAGTTTCATGATAGAGCCTATTAACAGGAGGTATTACAGTATTCATGTGAATGAAGTATGGCAATTGTTGCACAGCAGCTTTCAAGCTATTACACTGGGAGCCCTTTCAGGTACAGACATCCCCTCAATTTACAAAAAGGTTGTTTCTGAAAAAAAGAAAAGAAAAAAAAAGCCACTTTTGCAATTTTTCCCCTTAGTATTAATGAAAATATGATAAAACAAAGCAGTTTTTTTTTACCAATATCCTTACTTATTTCACTAACTTCATTATTCTCTAACATTCTCATTGTTATTAAAACTACAAAATATTAAAATGAGCATCATGCCAATACCTCAGTATATTGACTGATTTATTTAACACAAACTCCTCCTGTACTGACTGTTTAGCAGAAGATAACCAAATATGAAAAGTTAACAAAAAACCTTGTGGACAACCACCACTACAACACCCAGGGTTGGTTTATCCATTAGACCACAGTATCCAGGGCCTATAAAACTTCTTGGGCCTACCAAAAAGTTTGAGGCCAAATAAGATATTAGCTGACACAAAAAGGAGAAAAGAAAACTGGTAAATCAAACTTAACAATTTGCATTAATTGAATTACTTCACAAACCCTTTTCATTATAATAAATCAACCAGTGTTTTTCGTGTTGGGGTAGAACTAACTCATCTAACTGGCATATACTGTAATAGGGCTAAACAAAAATAACTACCTTCTAAAAATATTAAGTTAAATATTTAGATGGTTAGTTTATGACCACAGTTTTTTACAACTATGTAAGAAGCCAGGTAGCTGTATGTGTGTTAGGCATACCACATCCTTACCGAACCATTTACAGAAAAGTGCAACGTAGTTGGTGTTCACAATACAGTCAACCCTCGCTTTACGCGGTCCCACTTTCCGCGTTTCCACGTTTACGCGGTACCCTGCCGAAACCGGAATGCTCACTTTCCACGGTGTGTGTACCCTTTTACGCGGAGAGCGGCGCGAGCAGGGTGCGCACAAGGTCGCCCAGTCATCAAAACATTACCGAGTTCTTCACCCGCCACCCACCACAGCCGGCCCAAGTCAGTGATAGTGATAATGATAGTAAGGATATGGAGTTATATGGACTTTGAGGGGTTTGACAAAGAGGCCCTGCAAGCCTCTGTGGTGGATAGTGATACAGGTGAGGGCCAATAATCTGCCCTCTGCCTCGGAACCAACCCCCCATCCCCATGTGCCCAGCCATTTTCTACTAATTAAGTGTTAAAAAACCTAATATTATTGATATTTCTCTTAATTATTAATTGTGTGTGCATACCATCATAAAATTAAGAAGTTATTTTTACTACAACGTAGGTATTGTGTCTAAAAACGTGGAGTTTGGGGGTCGGCCCGGTCTCTATTTCAATTAATCCCATATGTTATGTTGTTCACTTTACGCGTTTCTCACTTTACGCGGGCCGCCGTGGGTTGAATTAACCGCGTAAAGTGAGGGTTCACTGTACCATCAATGGTTTTAATTACCAACTGTGTCATCTTATCTTGGTCTTTGCAAATAATAAATTTTTTTTAAGAAGTTGTCTATATGTCTAGCATTAATATTCCATTAAACCCATTATAATGTGAAAACATTATTAACATTTGTGAAAATGGGAAATGTAAAGCAAAAACAATTATTCTTAGAAAATTACATAGAAAGTGCCCTATCTGCCTCAATAACAGGACAAAAGTATTGCAGAAGTATAAATGAAGTATTAAGTCCTCATAACAGTCGAGTGACTTGCCTATATAATTAGAAATAAATGTAAAACAATGGTTCTTTTCAGTTAAATAACTAATGATCCACCATGGGTTTTATTTACATTATGTGATTTGACTCCTACCAAAAGATGGCAACACCTAATGAAATTTGATATTCTTTTCAAGGTCAGATAATGTTCAGCTATCTTGACAGTACAATTATACTCGGCCGTGTAGATTAGCAGAGCCTGGTAGCCCAGACATGCCCAAACTAGGGGCCAGACAAGTGATTTTTCATTGTCGGTGTGCCTGGGACTTGCCCTGCTGACAAGTTAATATTTTGAGAAGAAAATAACGAGACAGGAATTTGTCAGGTGCTGTGTGACCCCACCTCACCAGTAAGGCGATGGGAGGGGGGGGGAGCTGTGTATATGTGTGTGCGTTTGAACTGATGCTATATCGTAACATCACAACTGATCCCTCCTATTTCTATTGGTCTGTTCTCACAATGACCTGACCTGAAAATCTGTATAAAAACTCACACTGACTTATGTATAAACAGAGTTATGGTACAAACTGAAGTGAAAACATTAACATGAATAAGAAGCAAGGAAAATTGACCAGGTTCTTCAAACACCACTGGATGGAGAAGGGTGAAGGTAAAAGGCATTTAGATGGACAAAAGTGATTTGTGAGTTCACAGACGCAATAAATTGGAATGTTTTAAAATGTTTATTTAACTTTTCCCATGAAAAAACAGGCAAGCAAATTTCCCCCAAAATTTGTCAGGGCAAGTGAAAAATAAATTTCAGAGCAAGTAAATTTCAAAAGTCACTTGCCCTGGGACAAGTACGAGTTCCCCACAATGTGCTTAGCCCGAATTATACATTACGAATTTTGCTGCAAAAGGGTTAATTATACAGTATTATAGTATAAATACTGTAACAAAGACAAAATATCAGTCATAATTTCAATAGTTAAAGATTTATACCATCAAAGTATGTACCACAGACAAAGTATTATAGATGAAATATAGTTCACAGCATAGAAGTACCAGTCTTATATTATTATAGTGTAAATATTCCTCTATACAGCAGCTCTATCATGGGGCCTAGAAACACTTTAATCTGGCCCTTGAGCACACTACTTGGACAGCTATAGCTCACCTTCTGTCCTCCAGACAGATGCGATAAAAAATGAATTTATATAGAGAAAATTTAAATATTCAAGGAAATAATAATAAAAGCGTCCAACGGAATCCTGGGAGAGTCCTTTTAATACTCAGTTTTGTTTATCATCTCTTTACTTATTTGTATTCATATATTACATAAAGTTGATAATTTTTACCAACCGGAAATTAACAAAAGACAAGAGAAAAAAACTTACACCAAACATGTTCCTCAGGTCAGGATCTCTAAATCTAAAGGGAATATTTGAGACATGGAGGCGCTTTGGTGGCTCCTTGGAGGGTGTAGGTGTATCAGGTTGTCCACTGGCTGTGGCATCACTTTTTTCTGCATCATTCTGTGGGAAAATTGAAGGCATATTATAAAAACTACATGGTGACAAATAATTTCCATCTAATTAATTTGTACAGTACTGTACTCAATAGTAAAAATTTTAAAAATTAATATATCTAAAACTACAAAAATTTACAAATTTAATGACCAAACCGAACTACAGTGGTCCCTCAGTTAACGAGCGCCTCGGTTAACAAGATTTCGGTTAACGAGTTACCTTCCATAAGATTCTTAACTTCGGTTAACGAGCAATCCCTCGATTAACGAGTTTCTTACGAGCCGACCTCAACATGTTTTCGCTTGCATTTGGTGGTCCACCAGCTGTAGTATTAGTCCGCCAAAACAGTAATCGGTTCCAGGGCTTATATTCCTTACCATATTAGTAAATATCAAGAAGTTTATACTATTCAATAATTTTAAACTTTAATATTAAATTTTTTAGTCATTTTAACAATTATTGAACATAATTGAAGGTAAGGAAACTAGTTATATGCGCGCCATCCAGCCTGGCAACACACGAAACAGGCGCCAGTCTCTGTCTTTTCAGTGAAGGTAACACCTTGCTTGAGACTCTCTTCACCTAAATGCTTTTTTCTGTGTTTGCAAGCAAATTATTGGTCATTTTGAAATATATTTTACATGTTGACAATATATAATGCAGTGCAGTGTTGATTTAAAGAAAATAATCTTGAATTACACCAAGAAAACTAAAATTTTATGGGTGAAATGGCACCATGGGGTGACTTCTCTTTCACCCTAATGCCTTCTCTTCTCCCTTCTCCTCCACCTCCATTCTAATTCCCATCATCATCATCATCATCATCCAGGAGCCTTCTACATACACACCTCAAAGTAAGTGTACTTTTCTACCTTTTTTGTTGAATTTGGGCAATTTTCGGTGAGCTGGAACCAATTACCCAAAAACCCACTGAAACAATGGTTTCGGTTAACGAGCAACCTTCTAGAACGGATTATGCTCGTTAACCGAGGGACCACTGTAGTGTTTACAGGAATATTACTATTAGTGTCCATCTCTGATACAATACAGTACAGTACAGTACAGTACCTGGCTTATTGTTACTACAAATATTTAGTCACTTAAAATAATGCAAGTAACAAAAAAAAAAAAATAGGCAAGTTATAACAGAAAAAAGGCATTAACTGTCTAACTAGAAAACATTATGGTACAAGATTAATGCACTTTAATATTACATCACTGCTATTGAACAACACAGTAGGTAATGCATGATTTATTGAACTTATTGTTAACTTGTGTTAATACAAGTACAGTACTATTCAGGGAGTTGTCAGTTTACTTCAGCTTTTTTAATAACTGTACCATGTTGGCAGTTACTTTACATCTGTGATAATATTCTTATTTCTTATGTTTTTTTATTTTTACTTGTTTTCAGCATTTAGTATTAGTTTGGTATGTGAAATAGTAACACAAGACTCACCACTTTAGCGCCCCCCCATCATTCCAGGTGAGCTATGTTCTGGTTAATTTTCAACTCGTAATTTTGGGTAGATACACACTTTTTTTTTTTTTAAATGTACAATGAAAGACAAAAGTCGTGTCGCGGTTTTGTCCGAAGATTAAATATAACTTGTGAAACATAATGAGAGCCCCCTACCACAAGGCAGAGCACACCAAAGGTTTAGCCCTTCGGCATATGTTTTAACCAAATTTCACGACACGACTTTTGTCTTTCGTTGTACACTCAATCTTACATACAATAAAAAAAAAAATCTATGTGGGTTAAGAAGGGGGGAGGGGAAGAGTGAGGGATCTCAGCTGTCCAGAGCTGTCTCTCCCGTGTACTATAGTGAAACTACACAGTACCCTCATTAATTCAGATCGTTTTAATATGGTTTTGGGCTTAATATGTATTTTTTTTTTTAAATAATTTGAATCTAAATAAATCTGAAATAACCAAGCAGCTCTGAAAAGTCAATTATTATTATAGGAATATATTATGAAATAGATTAAGATGAATGAATTATAGGAATATAATATGAATTATATTAAGATACTGTACTGTACAAAAGTACGTTTGGGTGCGTAGCCCGGGAGCGAATGTTAAGGAGGGGGAGGGAAGAGAGGGCACCTCAGCTCCCGTGCTTGGCAGCCAGTGATCCCTTTATAACAACTGTATGTAACTTCATCATTAATTCTCATATAATTTAGGTACATTTAGTGCCAAATTAATAAAACATTATAAAAAAATAATTCCTTTTCCCCCAAAAATCCCACACTCAATCCCAGATGAGCTATTGTGCTGTGATATATTCCTGGTCTCTTGTTTACAGCGGTAACAGCTGATTGTTCTTGCTTTCCCTAACAATGTTGCCGCCAGCACTCGCCAACTTTCAAGCACTGTTGTTGTCACTGCTCAAGAGGGTTGGTGCTTACCACAGGATCTATCTTCAGCACTCAGTAAATAACATCACTGTAGCATATAATACATCTCCAATGCTCTGATTTATTCACTGATCAGATGTCTAAGTGCAAAAATAGCCACATCAATCCATTATGTATCGTTTTAAAATAGGAATTAGAAATTACAATTTTATAAGACAATGGTTTAGTAGTGCTATTAATGTGCGTGTTGTTTAAGTGCCTTGTCACGTCACCTCATCTCTCGCCTCGTCACCTCACCTCTCGCCTTGCAGTGTTACATTTATTTATTACTGTAATATTGACTTTATTTTTACTGTATGTACATTTTAAAAAATATTTATGGTTATGCAGTAATTATAAATAGATTGTCTTATGTGGCAGCCAAGACAAGGCGCAAAAACTGAACAGAAAACAAAGAATAATTGAACACAAAAATTTAGAAATTGTCGAATAATGTCAAAATATTCCAAACTTGGTTCATTCGGATTTTTCCGGCAATTCGAATGACTCGCAGCCCCCTTTTCGTCGAATTAACATACAGGCAGTCTCCGGGATATGAACGCGTTCCATTGCTGGGGACGTTCTTAAGTCAAAAATGTACACAAGTCAAAACACATGCTATGTGCTTACTATACTTACAGAACAATGTTAAAATCCACGATATCATAGTCTAAGTCCTTATAAAAATAAAAAATCACTTAATTTAAGAGAAAAGAAGAAAAAGAATGACAAAATACAGTAAATGAAATGTTAATACTGTACTGTACAATATTATTTGTTTTTACTTATTTATTGGTATTATTTTTATTTATTCCTAACATTTCCTGGTACAGTACTGTATATACTATTTTAATAAAACTATGGCTACAGGAGGAAAATAAACACGAAGGTTTTTCCCTAAATATTCCCTGATGAAATGGGGGGGCATCTTATATGCCAGTGTTTTAATGTGCCATAAAATACAGTAAAATCAAATATATACAATGCAGATGATATTGCTCTTATCATGGACAGTGAAGAGGCATTACAAAAACTGCTTACCAGATTAGTGTAAAAAGGTGAAGAATATGTATTAAGAGTTAACGCTGTAAAGATAAAAGTAATGGTCGTTTCCAAATTGGATATAAATCCTAAAATAAAAATTATGGTACTTAAACAAGTGGAAAACTGTGTACAGTATTTGGAAAGTAAGATTAGCCGTGATGGTAGATGTGCAAATGAAATCAAAACAAGAATAGGTCAAGCAAAAAGTGCATTTAATAAACTAAAAGACTGAATGAAAAGTGAAAAAAAAGGGTGCTGAAAGGTTATATTTGGCAAGGACTGAAGAGTCAGAACTATGGACACATTCACCAGACTCAAGAAACATGTTAGAGGCCTTTGAAATGTGGTGTTATTGGCAAGTGTTAAAAATAAGTTACGCTGGAAAAAAAAAAGTACCTGTACAGTACTAAGATTAGCAAAAACATCAAGAAAAATACTTGAAATGTAAATAAAAATGAAAATGAGATACTGGTCATATAATTAGGGATGTGGGGATAACAGAAATATTAATGACAAAGTTGAGAGTAGGAAAGCAGAACGGAGATGGATGAATGAAATTAAAAACTGGGTCCCCGGTGAGATACAAAATCTTGGAGGACTGGTAAAAACAGCCTGAGAAAGTTTATGAGGACGGTACTCTGATTGATTGATTGGAACTCTGCCCCACCATGCAAAGATAGGAAGATAGGAAAGGGTATGTAATAAGAGGACATACACAATATATTTTACACACACAACCTACCTACTTTACCTATGTTAAGTGAGCCAAAATTGGCTTCACCAGTTTAATATATTACTTAATACTATTCTACATCACCCACTATTATATTAGTGCTGTGACAATACTGTATAATATACTGTATTCTACATCACCCACTATTAAAATTGGGATAATCTTGACTTTAATTTTTTTTTCTTCTAAACATTAGTAAAGATTCCAAAGATTAATTTACCTTGCTGTAAAGACAACCACTCTGTACAGTATTGACGGATAAAAACACAAAAATCTTTTAAGAAAGAAAGAATGCACCTACAGTATATTAACAGAATAAATAAATGAGTAAATATTTATGTACTTCTCCATTGCACTCGACCTTTACTGTTGCCATCATCTTTGAATGTGTGGGTTGAACTTCGCAAACTGGCTCATTCTCCATACCATTGGAGATCCACGACCTGGCAGCCGGTACTGGATTATTAACTTCGGGAGACAGTTTTTGCTGTTCACTCACGACACCTTGATGTACCTATAAAAATGAGAAAACTTTGCTAAACAAGAAAGTCATTATAGTTATCACCTTGCTACAAGTATGGACTCTCATATCCGGGACCCTTGGGACCAAAACTGAAAAAATTTGCAAGGTTTTCTTGTTTCCTGGGTCCTAGCTTAGTTCAGTTTTCTTCCTGGAGCATATTTCTGTTTCTCTGGACCAACTTGTAAACTACAGTAAATCAATTTTGCTTCCACACACTACCACAAACTCAAATGAAGGTTATGAGAATAAATAAGACAAATACATGAAATACAAATACAGGTACAAAACATTTGCTACCACATACACCAATCTTTTCCAAAAAGCAGCCGAGAAGAATGCTAGTGTAACTGAAAAGGAACCATCATGCTATCAAAATCCTGTGGGAGGATCACCAACCAACAACAGTGATATCTTCGTTACCCGGAAAAATTTTCTCGTAAGTTCCAGAAATTGGCCATTCCATATCTCTCAAACCCTGAAAAAAATCCCTCATCCCCGGAATTTTCCGAATAACGGAAAAATTTTCTCAGAATTTCCAGAAAATGCGCCTGAATTTCATCTCTCAAACCCGGAAAAGAACTCCCCCCATCCCCGAAATTTTCCGGATATCGGGAAAATTTTCTCTGAATTTTCCGGAAAACATGCCCCTCGGAAAATTGTACAAGACGACCTTTGAAGCTTAAAAACACCCCCCCCCCAAAACTAGGGGTAATTTTATATGCCAAGCATAAAATGTGAACCTTAAATCCTACAGCTTAGGTCAGTCCCATGGGTGCCAGAGATCATCGGTTGATGATGATGTGGATTTTGAAGGATTTTAATAAATTATGATTGAAGTAATAACCATTTTAGTTAGCATTGCCAATAAAATGTAAGCATTTAGCTTTTTTCCATTGGGTTTGAATATTTTAAAGGTAATAAATACACTATTCAATAAGCATGTACTCTTTCTTTCACACAAATGCTAATGACACATGAAGTATTGCACCGTAATCAAACAAACTAAAATATACAGAGCACCGAAGATTGGTGTAAATGTGTAAACAGATGTTGCGAATGCAGTCTTACCAATATAGCCTATATACATAAATTTTTAAAATTTGTGAAAATGTACTGATGCTTAAATTTCAAATACATTACTGTACATTTATAAGGAAATAAATCAAACCTCCAGTGTCACGTAAATGGCAAATTTTACCATATTCAATCCAGAAATCAGTTCCCATAAAAGAACCGACGCCACAATGACATCTCAAGTGTTTACGGTCACTACAGCTATGCTGCAGCAGTGAGTCATGTGAACTAGCCTTGTTTCAAACAGGCAAGGCTAAAATATCTTGCACTTTGCACTGACAGTACGGTAAATTACAAGTATTTTATTTTATTAACATTAGCTTTCGAGTTTAGGCTGCATTGCTTACCGGTACCGATGGTCAGTGGAAGTTGGGACAGCAGGATAAGACTACTGATTAGTACCTGATTAGTGGTCATCTTATTCGACAGTATAGGCTAAAACTTATATTTTAAATTGAAAATTTGGGGTCGTCTTATAGGCCCAGTCGCTTTATGTCAGTATATATGGTACCTCCAATTTTTGCCTTAATTTCACCATTATTAATTTCAAAATACACTGAACCCAAGTATTACGGAATGGATGTGGTGTTGAAAAAGTGATCATAGCGCGAATTTCCGTAACACGAACTATTTTTTCCCATATACCGTACTCCCATATCAAAAGTGAAGATGCGTTCACACAGGAATTTTTTCAGTCAACACAAGTAATGAAACACACTTATAAATGGAGACATATATACAGTAAACATTTCTTAACACATAATATTTATAGTTTCGACATTTTATAATTTTACTTACCACAAATTTAATAGTACAGTAATACCCCGCTTTACGCGTTTTTTTTTGTGCGTTTCTACATTTACGCGGTACCCCGCCAGAACCGGAATTCCCACTTTACGCTGTGCTCTACTCATATACGCAGGAAGCGGCGCGGGCAGGGTGCGCACAGGGTCGCCCAGTCATCAAAACATTACCGAGTTCTTCACCCACCACAGCCAGCCCAAGTCAGTAATAGTGATAGTGAGGATATGGACTTATATGGACTTTGAGGGGTTTGACAAAGAGGCCCTGCAAGCCTCTGTGGTGGATAGTGATACAATTGATACAAGTGATACAGGTGAGGGCCAATAATCTGCCCTCTGCCTCGGAACCAACCCCCCATCCCCGTGTGCCCAGCCATCTTTTCTACTAATGTAAGTGTTAAAAAACCTAATATTATTCATATTTCTCTTAATTATTAATTGTGTGTGCATACCATCATAAAATTAAGAAGTTATTTTTACTACAACGTAGGTATTGTGTCTGAAAAAGTGGAGTTTGGGGGTCGGCCCAGTCTCTATTTCAATTAATCCCATATGTTCTGTTGTTCACTTTACGCGGGCCTCCGTGGGTTTAATTGACCGCATAAAGCGGGGTTACACTGTACAGTATGCCCTTCAAATTCTCGGGGGTTAGGTTCTCAAAATGGCCGCGAATTGCCAAATCCGCGAATAACATTTGCTGACCAGGGAGGGGGGTATATTTTTACTTGTGATCAAAGAAATGTACAGTATTCCCTTTATATTTTTGCCCTTAGAACAATTATTTCTTTTACCTGTATTGTATATATGTGTGTGTGTGTGTGTGTGTGTGTGTGTGTGTGTGTCTACATACACACATATATACAATACAGGTAAAGGAAATTACTGTCTCTAGAACAAATGGCTCCTTGTCCTGGCCGCAAAAATGACGGCAACTTTAAAACTACCCTTACATCCAGGGTGTCATCTGCGAATAATCGAGATCCGCAAATTGAAAATCCACAAATTTGAATTGCATGCTGTAAATACAAGTTTTAGAAATGGCGCCAGGTTTTTTCCCTGGATCAAACCTCCATAAAACATCTAGTTTTACATCCAGAGTAATTCTTTTACATACTCGTTTAGGTGTAGTACTTGCACTTGAGGTTGGTAAAAAAAAAAAAAATCGTATTTAGAATTTAAAAAAATATTTATTGTAAAATTCCGTAAGGGCGAATTTACATTCCTATCCTGATTTTAGTGGCAGTGATTTACAATGTCCGTAAGGCACATTTCCGTAACCAGAATCCCTGTAACGCGAGGGTCCAGTGTAATAATAAATATAAAGGAAGAGAATCAAGATACAGTGGTCCCTCGGTTGACGAGCGCCTCTGTTAACGAGTTACCTTCCATAAGATTCTTAACTTCGGTTAACGAGCAATCCCTCGATTAACGAGTTTCTTACAAGCCGACCTCAACATGTTTTCGCTTGCATTTGGCGGTCTACCAGCTGTAGTATTAGTCCACCAATACAGTAATCGGTTCTAGGGCTTATATTCCTTACCATTTTAGTAAATATCAAGAAGTTTATACTATTCAATAATTTTAAATGTTTAATATTAAATTTTTTAGTCATTTTAACAATTATTGAACAATATTGAAGGTAAGGAAACTAGTTATATGCGCGCCATCCAGCCTGGCAACACACGAAACATTCGCCAGTCTCTCTGTCTTTTCAGTGGAGGTAACATCTTGCTTGAGACTCTCTTCAACTAAATGCTTTTTTTCTGTGTTTGCAAGCAAATTATTGGTCATTTTGAAATATATTTTACATATTGACAATATATAATGCAGTGCAGTGTTGATTTAAAGAAAATAATCTTGAATTACACCAAGAGTACTAAAATTTTATGGGTGAAATGGCACCATGGGGTGACTTCTCTTCCACCCCAATGCCTTCTCTTCTCCCTTCGCCTCCACCCCCATTCTAATTCCCATCATCATCATCATCATCCAGGAGCCTTCTACTTACACACCTCAAAGTAAGTGTACTTTTCTACCTTTTTTGTTGAATTTAGGCAATTTTCGGTGAGCTGGAACCAATTACCCAAAAACCCATTGAAACAATGGTTTCGGTTAACGAGTTTTTCGGTTAACGAGCAACCTTCTAGAACGGATTGTGCTCGTTAGCCGAGGGACCACTGTATCTATTGATTCCCCCAGACTTTAATTATTCACCAAATCTCTACTTCTCACAGTCTAATAAATAATAACTTGTGAGGAGCAGCCAGAACATAAATAAACCCATTTAACTCACTTTTAAGGAACTCCTTTGCTAAAAAGACTATATACTTGTATTTTATGTATTCATTTCTTCTATGATAAACATACAGCAAAGTATTTACTGGTGACTCCCATCGACAGGTTTTTATTAGTAGGCCTCAGTGGCCAGTCTCTGCTATTGTACATAAGCTCGTGCACTTGACCAGTTTGTCAGTAAAGCTAAACCTCTCCAATTTATGGTCTGTCTCTCTGGATCAAGGTTGGATCAATATAATTTATTAAGTTTATGTGTTGTACTTTACTGTGTGACATTCTCAATGGTTCAGTTTGTTTTATATTGTAGTATTAATTTCATTGTTTTTAATTCCAAAATTCTTACATAATAAATGTTAATGTATCAGAAAAAACAGAAAACATGGTGTAATACAAGTAATGGCATTTTGTTTATTATTTTATCCCAAATCATTATTAAATACAGTACAATACAAATTTATGTTATTTTAATTTAGTCCACTCTCTTGAATAAACTAAGAGATAGTCATCAGTTTCATAATTATGAATTTAATGTTAAAAAAATTTCCCAAGAAAACTTGCTTGATTGGTCACTAAAACCTGACTGTAACACATGTCACACAGATGCTGGGTCTTAAGACTGCATTTTACCTGAAAGAATATTCATTTAAAATATACAGTAAAGCTTCGAATAACGACGGTAATGTGTCCTCCAATATTGCAGTGTAAGGTGAATCATCGTATTGCGAATCATTAATTACCATTAAAATAAAGCAATAATAATGAGATGCATTCCCAAATGTGACCTTTTCATTTATTTTGTGTGGCTTTTTACAAACTATA